CTTAGCCAACATCGTACTTTGCTCTTGCTGTGAACCCCTGGTAGGTGGGAGAGTGGTGGATTCTGACCACAGGAAACATGTACGAAATACGCATACGCACAATATGCTGTTCTTCATCACAGTGAAACTAATTTCACTGTAATACTTATACTCAGATTTGCTGCTGTCGAGAAAAACACAAGTTCTACCCCTAATCTTTCAAAACCAAGAACTTAAAAAAGACAACAACCAAACATTCAGAGAAATTTTCTTAAAATGTGAAGTATTTTTTCCCAGTTTGCTGTGTTTTTTCAGATTATTTCAGATTGGGTTTATTGCTGCTTTTTAAAGCATAAAGAGCACAAACCTGAAAATATTCAACCTGAAGGTAAAGGGGGCAGAAAAATCAGAAGCTCCTGGTGAAAGAGAGGTTAAAATGAACATTGCTGTGCAACCATGATGGTGTTGGTTATTGTTATTCCCTTTACCATAAGTAGCTTTTCTCACCTCCAAGTGAGGCTTTAAAATACAAGAATCACTTTCACTTTTCTTTATCTATTAAGAAATTATGCTTATAAAGTATAATTGTCCCTAAGTAGTTACTCAAGGAGAAAATGATGCAATGATTCCTGTTTATCCAGTCTGAAAAAAATAGTGGGGTAGAAACTCTAAAGGCAAGTTAATCTCTTCAGTATTAGATCAAAGCCTACTCAATTATTACAAAAGATTATAATCGCTGCAGTTGAAAGTTACCCATTAAGACATTATTTTCATTACATTGATACACACTGGCAAAATGATTAAAAAAAAAAATCACATAGAACAAAAGGACCATGTTTGTATATCTCTTAAGATGTTCTCCCAGAGAAACTGCAAGTGTGAACTACATTAGACAAAGTTAGATGAGGCTAAAGCCTCTCTTTCTTTAACACCTCCTCTTTTTAAATAGAGCCAGATTCTACCCTCACTCAGTTGAGTGAGACTCAGTCAAAGGCTTACTGAGTCAGTGGGGTTCCACGGAAGATGTCAGAACAGAATCAGATTTACTAAAGAGATTTTAGTAAAAAAGGATAAAAATCTGGAGTAAACAAAGAGGTGAAATGTTTTTACTCAGACAAAACTTATGAAGAAAGATATCAGTAAAATCTGTCTTGAAGGTGAAAATATAGAAAAGAAATCAGAGAGACAGAGTTATACAGTAAAGCAAGAGCTCTTAAGATTTATGTTTGTCAGTGTGAGTGGGTTGAATTGGGTGAGGCCAAATGTATATCTTCAAAAGCATCTTAAACCTTCCAAACACCGCCATTGTTTGTTCACAAGAGTACTTTCTCTCTAGTGGTGGATTTAAGTTAATTTCGTTACTCAGAAAGGCAATGGATAATAGGAGGGATCAGTACAACTTCTTCCCTAGTATGCGGAGTATGTTAGAGTGCAAAAGATGAAATAAGCTTTTTTTTTCCTAACCAAAAGGCATAATTTCATTGGGGAGGGTTGAAATCATTCAGAATATTTTATAGGGATTTTGATATTTCTGACAAAATGATACCTTGTGAAAGGACTTCAACAATGAATAAAACAAAAGTATAATGTAGAAACAAACTCACATTTGGTATTTAGCACATCTTTTTCAGCCAGCACTGATTGACATTATCTTCAATTACTTACCTCATTAGGCAAGGCATTCATCAGTGTTTTAAGAGTCTTCTCAAAGGTTATTTGGCAAGAAAGCCTGCAGAAAATTCTACATATTCTAGAAGAAACCCTGATATATGCTGACTATGCCCTTCTAAATATAAACTCTGGTTAAGGAAATACAGAGGCCTCTTCGTGCACTACATTATGTGGACTCCTCTCTGTGACCTCCAGATGCCCTGATTTTCCCTGGCCTACCACAAAATAGTCATGTAATGCTAACCTTGATGGACTACACATGAATAAGAGGCTATTTTGGTCTTCTAAGTGCTTTAAATTGTAAGGTTCCCAGTACACTACTCCACAGATAGCTTGGGAACAGAATAATTAACTCAATGTAAGATGTATGCAGTTGTCTTTATGAAAGCCCAATCTGTCCTCAGAGACCATTCTGCCCTGTGAGGAGGCAGCCTTGGAAAAAAGCAAAAGAACCATATCATTCGTAATGAGTTTCATTAATGTGGCTGCTAAAGCTACCTTGCTATCACTTGGCAATGATGGGAGCTGTGACTTTAGAAGCTCTGAGATTGCCCTGGCACTTTCTAGCCAGACAAGGAGACCCAGGTTATGCGTGTGTGACATCAGCAGAGCGCTTGGGACCAGCCAAAGCTGGATCCCCACACAAAGGCAGAGAAGAGAAAATGTATGATTATTTTACATTGCTCGTATTTACCTGTAGCACAATGTTAACAGGTAGACCTACCAGGGACAAAGTAAACAGAACTAGATAGCTACCATGGGCCTGTGATTCTTCCAGAGGAGCCAGCATATACAACTCTCTCAAGTGATTCTTGGCTCTGCAAAAAGCCCCGTCCCCCTAAATATTACTTTAAGACATCTTGAAATATTACAGGAAGACATCAATAGTGGGGAGAAGTTTGCAGATGTTTATCTTCTCCTCAGCGTTAGTGCGTATCCCCCACCGACACCCAGACAGTCCAGTGGCCACTGGACCTGCGTCAGGCTCGAACCACAAGCCAACCCCACCTGCTCCTCCCAGCCCCGGCTGCCGCCCCAGCAGCACAGCCCCCGTGGGTGCCTCTCCGGGGAAGCCAGGCCATACCCCGGCACTCCCTGAGGCAGGAGGGCTGCGCGCCTCCCACATCCCACATCCGGGAAAGTCTGGAGGTTGTAGGAAAGTCAGAACGTGTCGAACGAGCCCTGCTGCTGCTGCAAGGCCCACGGTTCCCAATCAGCAGTAAGTGCTGTTGTTCTTTAGACACCATCCATTGCGACAGCCACTGGTGGCTTTCCAACAGGTCTAAAACCAGATTGCTCCCAGTCAACCACCTCTCCTTATCTAACCTTGATGAGGGAGGCTGAAGATCATGGCCACTTCCGCCCTCTTACCTAGGGCCTGCAATGGCACTCACCACTGCGAATGAGTATCACTTAGGGACTGGGAGAAATGATCACCAGAGCCCTGCTGGGAGTGTGTGTCGTGTGGTGTGGCGGGCGCAGGGCCGGGGAGGAGCTGCCTTCTAGCTAACAGCCGCCTCAGCGCCAGGTACAACATCTACGGTGACGCAGCAAACAGGCCAGCATCTGGCCTGTCTCTTCTTCAGGGCAGCCTCTCTTGTACAGAGCAGCCCCACGAGAAGCCTGACCTCTACCAGAGGCTGAGCGGTTTTCATTAATCCCAAAGAGCCTTTCCTCCTCCTAAAGCACACACTGCAGAGCCCACGGCGAGCGGGGCCCTGCTCCCTCCTGGTGCGGCCGAGGCTCACCGCAGGCGGGTTAGGCAGAGGCTCTGTCAGTCACCCCTCGAGCAGCGGCCAGTTGGCGTGGCCTCGCGTGCTGCCAGGCACCCCCTCTAAAATGCAGGGGCATCAGAGAACGTTTGGCCCCTTATCTAAAAAAATAACACTCTTAGCTTAATATTTTACTCCTCCCCTTGGCTTTTCAGCACAGTTCAGTTGTGTTTATTTTCCTAGCAGGAGTCTTGTGTAATTTTTATAAAGATTATAAGCAGTGCCACCAGGCTGCCAAACTTTTGACAGTTCCATAAAATCAGTATTTTTACTGTAATGAAAAATGCATTGAAAATCACTTTCAGCAACACATTTTTACTACTTTTTTTTTTGTGTCAATCTTAAAAAAACCCTATTTCTGATTACCTTGTTCAGAAGATTTTTCATGTTGTCATGTTTCACTATTGAAGATTTTTCCAAAAGTCTTTGGGCAGAATGTCCTAATTACACTGGACCTTGGTTTATACTGTATGACCATAAATATATATCTGAACATCACCATGTCATACACAAATTTGAAAACCTAGAGCTATCAGATGTTTAAGGCCATCTGAAAACAAACAAAAAGGAAACACATCAAAACAGCAGAGAGCAATCCCTTACTCTGGCTCCTACCTGCACCTGCAACAGTTCCTTACCTTTCCACACCCCCTTCTATTTACTTCAGATGCAGCAACACCCATAGGGTGCTTTTCCCTGTATTTTTATACTCTGATTATGTAACTGTGCTGCTTGCATAACCGCACCACCGATAAATGTAGGATTTGTCTAAGGATCAGCACAGAGCAGCTTCTGTCAGCCCGTTACCGAGCGTCCCCCCCAGCCTCCCCGCTCGGAGCGCGGGGTAAGGTGGGTGCCGTAGGTGCCAGAGGGACACCCGCTCCTTGCAGCCTGGCCGGGAACGTTTAGCCTGAAATAACGTTTGCGTTCATCGCATGAGATCATGTCACCAAAGACACCAGGTTTCAGGCGGCCTCGCTGAAGCACACACGGCAGAAATCCCGCCCCCCCGGCTCTCAGATGTGCCCTTCCCGGGGGCATTTCCCAGCTCTGCCCCGCCTGCGGGGGGATCTCCCGCCCCCGCGGGGTCACCCTCCGTTTTCTCGGGGCTTCTGCCAGGCTTTTTGCCGCCGAGGTGTGCGGCCGGGCCGGGCAGCAGCACCCTCAGCCCCGCGGACAGCCGCTGCCGGTGCCCCCTTTGTGCTTTTTACACCGAACCGCCCCCGTGGGAAGGGCCCCGCACCAAGCCGCGTGGGTCTCCTCGCGTGTCCCGGGCCCCGGAGAGGGGCCCGGCGGGGTCTGGGCCGCCCGGGCCCGGCCGCACACCGCGCTGCGGGGAGGTTCGGCCGGGGCGGCCGCGGGGCCCTCCCGGGCCCGGCCCCCCGCTCTGCGGCCGCATCAATCATTAACGGCGGCTCGGGTGTCCGCGCCTCCCTCCCGGGAAACCCTACCCGCGGCGGCGGGGGCGTCTCTCCCCGCTCCCCGGGAGCGCTGGATGCGCCGCCGGTTTCCAGTTACCGCGATGCCGGGCGGCGGGGCGGGAGGAGCCGCGGCGGTGCCGCCACTGCCCCTGCTGCAATGAGTGATGCTGCCGGGGGCGGCGGAGGAGGAGGAGGAGGAGAAGCGCAGAACCACCGCGGCTCCTTCGCCGGCGGCTGCGGGAGCAGCGGCTCTTCCTCGCCCGGGCGGCGGCGGGGCGCGGCGGTGGGCGGCGGGCCGGGGGCGGCCGGGGGGCCCGGGGCCGGCGGGGACAGCAGCATGCCGGCGGGCGAGGGGGACAAGGAGGAGGCGGCGCCGCCTCCTCGCCCTGCCGCCCTGCTGCGGTGGGACGAGGTGCCCGAGGACTTCGTGGAGTGCTTCATCCTCTCGGGCTACCGGCGGCTGCACTGCTCGGCGCAGGAGTGCCTGGCCTCGGTGCTGCAGCCCACCAACGAGACCCTCAACTTCTGGACCCACTTCATCCCGCTGCTGCTCTTCCTCAGCCGCTTCGGGCGGCTGCTGCTGCTGCGGGGCGCCGGGGACGTGCCCTTCCACCACCCGGCCCTGCTGCCCCTCTGGTGCTATGCCTCGGGGGTGCTGCTCACCTTCGCCATGAGCTGCACGGCCCACCTCTTCAGCTGCCTCTCCCCGCGCCTCCGCGCTGCCTTCTTCTACCTGGACTACGCCTCCATCAGCTACTATGGCTTTGCTAGCACCGTGGCCTACTCCTACTACCTGCTGCCAGGGCTGAGCCTGCTGGACGCGAGCGCCATGAGCCGCTACGTGCAGCAGCGGCTGGGCTGGCAGCTGGACTGCAGCCTGCCCATCGCGGCCTACCGCGCCCTGGTGCTGCCCGTGGCCCTGGCGCTGGCCGTGGGCTGCACGGCCGCCTGCTGCCGCAGCCGTGCTGCCTGCTGCGCCTACCCCTTCGCCGTGCGCACCTTCGTCTTTGCCATGCCGCTCAGCATGGCCTGCCCCATCATGCTGGAGAGCCTCCTCTTTGACCTCCACACCCGCAACCCCACGCTCTTCGTCTACTTCTACCGGCGCTACTGCTGGCTGCTGGTGGCCGCTTTCTTCAACGTCAGCAAAATCCCCGAGCGGATCCAGCCGGGGCTCTTTGACATTGTGGGGCACAGCCACCAGCTCTTCCACATCTTCACCTTCCTCAGCATCTACGACCAGATGCACTACGTGGAGGATGGGCTGGCTGAGTTCCTCAAGGCGCCCCTGGCCGCCCCGACCTACCTGGGCACCGTGGGGTATATGCTGCTCCTGACGCTCTGCCTGGCCATGGTTGTCAGGAGGTTCCTCAACGTCGCAGACCTCTGCAAGAAGGACTAGCTGGGCTGGTGACCCTCAGGACAGCAACCTCCATACCAGAGCTCCTTGGGCTGGAGACCCTCGGGCTGTTGACCTTCAGACTGGTGACCCTCAAACTGGCCCCATCGTGTCCTGAAGATGCTGTGAAACCTGGGGGAAACACACCTGTGGAAGAGCCAGGTCCCTTTCACGGAGGCTTGCCAGAGAAAATGACCATGGCGGAACTGCTCGTGCTCTTTAAACTACTAGGTTACCAGGGGAAGAAAGTAAACGCTTACTGGTATGTTGCTGCTTAGAGTATAAGCTGAAATAATTTAGCTCTGCTACTAGGAAGAATGCATGAACTGTGAATGCCACTTACTAATTTCATAATAATTAGGTTTAAACTAGCTCTGTATATAGATATATATTTATATATCTAGCTATCTATTTATTAGCTACATATATATGTGTATATATATATATACACCTGAAGACACTTGTGCAATGATTACTCATAGACTTTTAATCAACTCCTGTGTGAAATTTCCTAGCAGATTATGCACTGACATTAATCTTCCTCTGTGATACTGTAACAGGCCTTTGCAGCCACATACTGGATTTTAAATACAAACAAATCAATAGCTAGCTATAGTTTTTAAGGTCTTGATGCCTTTTCAGCCAGGGAACAATAGATTTAACAGAGAGAGGAAACACAGCTGTGAATTATTACAGAATTACCAGTTGATGGAGAGACTTTAATTAGACAGGCAGTGAGTGGTTGGTGTAGCCACTTGGATACTAAAATAAAAGAGAGGGATATGTAAAATAACTGAACCAGAAGGGGGTCAATCTAGTTTGGAGGGGGGTTGGGGGAGGAGAAGGGCACTGCATAATGGCATGGCTCTTCCCCAGCATGTCAGGAACATCTGTTGTGTTAAAGGGGTTGCTAAGGGGCCCCTTTATCTTCCCTGGTAAATCACCCCCAAATCAGCCCTTTTAGAGTCAAAGTCAGATGCCAGACTCTCTATAAGCCCCTGCCAACCTCGGTGGGAATTCTGTGGATGTAAAGAGAGTAACTGATGCATGAGATCTCATTCTGGATCTTTTAAACGATTACATGGAACTGGTTTCTTCTGCTTTTCAATTAGAGCACTCTGTCAGATTTACCATCCTAAAATTAGTTGAAGAATAAGGTACTGCTGAATCTGAGTTCAGGACCTAAAATCTGGCTGTACAAGTACTGGATACCGGCACTTTCTCATCATTCCCTACTTTTTGCTATTTTGATTAGTTGTGGCTGCAGCTGGGTGTTTTAAAGTCCTATTTCAGAAGCCTTGGGGGAGGTTCAAAGACAGGAATTATGAGGTATTGTCCAAAGCAGTATCTTTTCAACAGCAACCCGGGTATTTTCCTTGTCACACGGCAAAACAGCTAACTATAGATGGAACTTACTTTCTATATAAAGAAACGTTTTTGTAAACCATGTGCAGATCTTAAACAGATGCATTTTGATTTTTTCTGACAGAACAAGTAACAAATATGCAGAAGTATTATACAAGGGGGTTACAACTTGAAGTTCAGGTGAAAAACTGCTTGTATACCCCATTTTCAAAAAGAAGGGTGGAAATGCTGGTGTCATACTGCACAGTAGTGTAGTGGCTCTTTAACTCAGCCTCTTAGCCCCTGTTGTGGAAATACATTTCTGCTTGGGTCTTTCCCATTTTCATGGACGTGGCATTCTAATCCCAAGAAAATGTTTTGAGTCCAGTCCCACAGTCTGTAACACAAAGCCCCCTTTGTGTATGACAGGACTATAGGAAGGACTATAACTAGAGATTATGAGGTCAAATCCTAAATATGGGTCAGAATCATAACAGAAACCAATAATTCATATGTCCTGTACCAATGTCAGCTTTGTGAAAATTTCCCTATGACACTACATAAGCTAAAAGAAAATTACAACCACTTCATTTTGTCTTTTATCTTGACTCATTTTAACTACAATGGTTTGGATCTTTTAGATTCTCAGTGTATGATGAGAATGGCCTAACCAAAAATATGTATTCTTTGCCAGCCACAATTGTGCTAGTATATAATTTGTGGTAGGGTCACATGTGGTCTCTTCAAGAGATTGGCTAGAATTTTCTGAAACAGCAGTTTCCAAACTGTGGCCTCCTGATTTATCAGTGATGGGCCATAAAAAACAGCATGGCCCTGTGTGGCTGGTTGTGTTCTGTTTTCATTTGCCAACCTGCATTAAAAGAAAATGAAAACTACATTAAGTATTTCTAATTTTACATATTTTCATTAACTTTTGTCATAAATATGGCATTGCTTTATTCAGCTGCCAATAAAGCAGAAAATTATCTGCACCACTGAGAGAGGAGGCTGGTTCACAACAGTTATGCTTTGAAATGTGTTTTACATTGCAAAAAACCCCTAGAAACTCAAGATGGAAAGCAAATGGATCAAAATCTGTAACAATGTCATCCTATGAATTTCAACAACTGCAAAAAAGAGTCCAAAATATTTGACATGTGCTATATTCAAGGTAAAATAATAGAGGCATAGTAGGTAGAGCCCAGTGACTTGTCCAAGTTTCAAAACCAATTATGTAAAAAGGGTTTGCCTGGGAGATGACACTAGCATGTCCAACTGTCCTGATTTTGGCACCAACCAGCATGACACCACAACCACGACACCAACCAGCAATTATAAACTAAGAAATCAAAAAGGCTGGGGACAGCAAATCTCAGCACTAGGAGATGGGCTCAGAAACAAGCAACAGTAAAAGCCAAATGTAAAAAAAGACTTTTAAAACATACTATATAATGAATTATATTTGTGGTTGTCAGTCACAATGTAGAGGACATCTCAAGAGGCAATGTCAAAAAAGGCTGTTGCTAACTTGTAAAAATACATTTGATATTTGCAGTTAGGCCACACAGGGTCGTCTATATATATCTCAACGACAGATAACAGTATAAAGGTTGGACTGCAACCAACTGCAATTTTACTAGAATCTTACTGCTGTTATAAGAATTGCCTGTGAGCCCTAGTCACACTGCAAGTTTGGTACCTGGCTCTGATATTAAGAATATGGCTTCATTTAAAAGTTTCTGCTGGCAAAATGTTGAGGCATGTGTAGGGGCCTGAGCACTTTGTGGAATTACTTGTAAATGCTGGTTGCAAGTACTGCTCTCTGAGCCACTGTAAGCAGACTGTATGAATCAGGAGTGAATGGGTACAGGGAGATGTGATTAGATTTTAAGAGTTCTAATTAACGTATGTTTGTTTGTTTGTTTGTCTGTTTAAAATGTGGCTACAAATTAAATAGTTACAGTAAGTGTGGAGAATATCTAGGGAAACGCTACCTGAGTGTCATTTATTCAGTGAAGGACATGTATGTAGATAATTGCTCCATTTGCATGTGCAATAGCTGGTCTTCGTAAATATGGACAGGACAAAACTGAGTTGAACAGGTTAAAAGTGGAACAAGAGATCTATAATTGTAGTGCTTGAATTTGCTCGTGTAGAAGTGAACATCCATAAGTATGTCCAGATCTTAGACAGGATTTCTAACCTGCAGACTAGATGTATAAGGACATCCTAGAAAACAAAATTTTTTGCGTAAGTACCTGTCATAATGATTTTATTGCCTGAGTACCTGCCATAAGGTCTACAGTGTGGACTCCACAGCTCATCTTTAAAACCAAAAAGACTTTTCAGGCCTTTTGTCGTAGAACCTGTGTGGGGATGCGGGACAAGGTGAGGGCTGGAGCAGAAGGGGGTGGCCTGAAAATGCCTGTGTGTCCTTCCATCTTTGGCCGACGCTGACCTTCAGGCTGACACACCTGTGCCAATGTGAACTGACTGTTGATGGGGCCAGTTCCTAGAGTGCTGGGACTCCCCCCCCCTTGCAATCAGCATGTGCCTAGAACTGCAGTCTACACACTGGCATATATTCAATAAGCTTAGCTTCTGGGCAGTTCCGAGTAACCTGTAAACTTCAAGTTCATCTTTGTGTAAGATTGAGATACCTGGTCTGTAGTAATTATCCCGTATTCTGTCGTGATACGCTATTTCTTCTGCAGTGTATTCATTTGAATGTCACTATCCAGGATATCTATGCAGCTTTGAGCTGTTTCATTAGCAAGACTGGAGTCTGCAGTCTGGAAACAAAGGGAAAGGTTTCATCTGCGTGCTGCACTTGTAGAAACTTAGCAGTTAAAAGTAGAAACACATTGTTTTTTTGCTAAAATGATAGTTTTGTTTAGTTGTCCAAGTGTTGTACTTATTATTTATTAGCTGAATCCAGCTACTATGTTGAGTTTTTGTCAACAGTGCAACTGCAGAAAATAACAGTATGGACATTTTACTTAAGTAAACTCTCTGAGGCAGCACATTCATAAAGTATTATTGCACTTAACTCAGTTGATTACAATCCACATGCCTTACAGAAGCAAATCATACCTGTCGTAATTGCCCAGATTATACTGTTTTTCATTGCCTATGAGAGTAAAAATGACCAAGTGGCCGGTAACAATCTGAGGAGTTGGGCGCTCCTGGATTCTTGTCCCTGCTTTGCCACTACCTGTTCTGTAATCTAGGGCAAGTTGGTCATACTGTTTATTTTGGATGAATTTAATTCATGTAAAACACTGGAATTGTACCAGGGTTGAATTTGACCCTCTGTGTCTCAGCTTCCACATCTGTAAGATGGGGAGAATATACCTTACCTACCTCACAGGGTTGCTCTGAAGACTAGCTAATGTTTGTAAAGCACTTAAAAATGCAAAGACCCTCCTAGGTGCTAAGAAGAACTACTACTGAACTCTGGCAGAGAGAATGTTCTATTTTTCCATAGCTCCTCATCTCACAGGGAGAGAAACATGAACGTTTATAGATCATGAACTATTGGGACAAACCCGCCCCATTGCCATGCTCCTGGGAGGTTCACATCCTGTGTCCTTTGGAGCTGATGGCAAATTTTCCACTGGCCTCAGGCAGGGGGCAATCAAGACCTAAGTGGTAGTAAACAGGCTGACTAAATGCTTAAGGGTCAGGAGTAAAGAGAAAACATACATGAGTTAAGTACTCTCCAGAAATTCTCACTGGTGACTTGTAGCGAGGGGCATTGTAGTGCTGACATGAGGCCTTGTTGTTCATTTAGCCATGGATTGTATTCCAGTTACCATGAAACAATGGAGCAAGATTTCCCATCAGTGAGATGTGTAGGACTATGATTATGTCTCAGTTGCCATTGGGAATTTCAACCTACTTCAAGGTTTATTTCTTATCAGAGTAAAAAGGCCTTAAATAAATGAAGCTTTTAAATAAACATGTGTAATCATTTGGGAACATAAAATTATATTGATCAGACAAACAACTTTCTCTTTTCCCCTCCCATTCCCCAAAACCAACCACATGGAGCCAATCCTATTCTTGAGCGAAAACTGAACTTGGATCTTCTTATCACATATGTGTACTCTTCCTTTGCCGTGGAGCCCTGACTAATGATCCTGCTAATCCACTCTGCCCTTCTCCTGGAAGGACTGATATGAACAGCACCACTGAGTAGAGCACAATGTTTTTAAGAGCTTTTCTAACTGGCAGCAATAGTGGATACAAAAAAAAAGACAACAAAGACATCGAAGGGTTTGAGTGGTTCATCAAGTCAAAGCCCTCACCATCAGAAATCTGCCCTGAGTATATTCCTAGCTTCTGTTAGACACCTGTAAGCCAGGGCTACACAACCAACACCCGAGTAACAGCTGAGACTTTACCTCCTTCTCCTCAAATGAGATGCAAGATGCTGAGGAAGTGTCACATGCACTGAAAGACACAGACCTCCATTCAAGAAGTTTAATGTCTTGGAGCTGGGTGTGAAATAAATTATTTTCACAACTTGCTTAGACAGATGCTGCTTCATTCCACTGAATTCAGTAATAAATTAATGACCAAGACAAAGGAAGCAAGCTTTTGCTCCAAGTTCCCTGTAAGGAAATACCACGAGCAGACTTCTGCTTTCAGGGCAATTGCTTCCTGGGCCATACTCAGAACATGGAGGATTCTGAAGTAAGGCTTTGCTATTTCATGTGAACGCCTCAGGATTTGTGGTTGTAGCTGGGGTTAATAGTATGGAGAAACAGTTTATAGCAAGACAATTCTGTCTGCTAGAGATTAAAGCACGCTTTAGTAAGAGGTATCGCATTTAAGGGTCTGTGCATGCAATGAACAAAAAGTGTGAATTTTGTTTGGTTCTGTTGGGAGGGTTTGAAAATTTAATCTTTGTACACTTTTGGATGCTGACTACTGTATATGTAATGACTATGCATTTTTAGCAAAAAAAGGTGTGAGCTATAAATAAAGTTGATTCTGAGTACATTTTTGCAGAAATGCATTTATAAAGTTTTTTCATTTCTTAATATAAATTGCTGTGACTCCTGTAGGATCAGAAATGTGTTGAATATAGTTATCTTCAAACACAGATGTTAGCATAAGTACAGGAACTTCCAATTCTTGCATAATGGTGTTGATATTTCTGAAAACACTATACCACAGCAAAAGTATTGTTGCCACTTTATTGCCTTTTGTATTTTAAAGCAATAAACCAGCATAATTGCCTTTAGTTGCTAACTTACTAATGATAGGCATCCTTGTTATATTAAAATTCATTAATATATGTAAAGAGCTCAGTGTTCTGCCTATGGTGCTCACTGAAAAATCACGAAATTGGTAGCAACAGCTATGTCAAGAATCACAGCAAAATATTGACTGCAAAATGAAGAGGTCTATTTGGCATCAAATAAAGTCTCCCAGTTGGCAGACTAGGAATGTTCCAAGTGGCAGAATATTGTTTTCAGTCCAAGTCAGCCACAGAAAAGCACTCAATGAGCTGCAATTACATAAAGTATCTGCTTCAAGCCTTCTGTGTCAAAATTCAGCAGGACGTGATGTATCCCAACATAACTGCAGGCATCTCCTGATACTGTTAAAAGGCTGAACACAATGGAAAACTGTAGGATCTTCTAGTTGAGGTTTGCAGAATTCCTTCAAAAGTTGTAAAATTCTTGAGAGCTTTTGTTTGCAGTTCGTACATCCTATTTGAAATATGGTAATGACTTCAAGTATTTGATGAGCCCAGCAAAAACATCCATTGCCACCTCACAAACAGATGCTTAGAAAGCCTACATCCCACAAATAAATGTTTCAAAAGACTGCATCCTACTGTTAACATTTAAGGCCTTTCATAATGTTATCAGAAGGCTCTAGATCTGACTGCTGGACATGAACATGCTGGGGGAAAACCTCACAAAACTGATGGAGCCAGTGAGGATGGCAAAATACTGAGTAGAATGGAAAGCAACCAAAGTCGCTGCTAGAACAGGTAATTTATTGAGGTCAGTACCTCAGCCTTCAGTTGAGATGTCTCCCTAGTTGTTCTGATAACCAACTGGAAATCTGAAGTCAATCTACATTTTGTTACCATGACATCACTTCTCTGACAAATGGCCCTAAAAGTCAGGGATTTGTGGAGGAACAAAGGGACATCTGATACACAGCTTTAACTTTCAGATTTTATTCTCTCATTGTAGGATAATGTTAGTAGAACCTGTGAGTGGAGATGAAACTCATTAAAAATTAAAAAGCTGTTAAAAATGAAAAGCAAATCAGTATTAATGCTAAGGCTAAATCTTGGTTTCAGTAATGAGAGCCTCTGGGGCAGGCACTACAGATGCACTCTTCTGCATCAGAATGCCCTCTATTACAAGGCAGATTTCTTATCAAGAGTGGCAGAACATTTCTGTTAGTGGGGAGCTGGAAATACTTCTCTTCCCAGGGAGCACAGCCTTTGGGTATATGATACATGCTTTGCAGGAGAATGACAACAACAATATCACACAATCTTTTGGGAGAGTAAACAATTTTATAGAGTTCTGTAATTTGAGTCTCTTCTGCCCCCAAGATCTAATCCTTTTGTGCCCCTCCTGACTGATGAAATATGAAAATATACTTTTCCTTCATTTTTGGTGTTAAGCGTACCTCTCATCTATTATCCTCTGTTTGCTAGGAAACATCTATTCTCTGACACTCTCCTCTGTTGTCCTGAGGAATTGAGTAATGCCACTTGTACAAGAAGAAAAACCTCAATTTTTCCCTCTTTATATGCTGGGCTCTCTGCATCCGCAGTCCTGGGGCTATGGAAATCAATCACTGGCACACAGTAGTGTCCCAAAATCTCAGCTTTTCTTTTTAGCAGCACTTGGAAAGACAACTATGAAATGTCAATGAGGTGGATAACAAGCAGTGATATCTAAAGCACTTGGAAATAATATAAACAATGAGTGAAAGGTAAACAGGTCAGTTTCTTTGATACCTTTGGACACACAGGCATTCTCTCTCATTATCCCAGATTTAGCAGAGCTCATAAGCACGTGCTTAACTTTAACATGAATATAAGTTTATCTTTGTTCATTCACAGGGGTGAACTTCTCCTCGTGTTTAAGTGTGCTATAGAAGCAGAGCCCTAATGAGCAGACAGTGCCAGGGAAATGCTGCCAGCAAGAGTCTGGCACAGCAAATTCTGCCATTCAGCCCAAAGACAGTGTCCTACCCTCTGACACCCGAGACTCACATTCCCTCCTCTGCCATAGTCTTTTAAAGCATTCTCCTCTCAGACCATTGTCTGAAAGATTTTAATGCAAAACAAAGAGCAAAATACATATGTAGAAGCTAGAAATGCACCAACTTAGTCTAGTCACGAAATAAAACTGCAGGTTTTCCAACTGTGGCAATTACAATAACAAAACATTGTTTCTTGTAGTCTGGTAGAAAACCATAGCTTGGGGTAAACCAGTTTGGAACAGTGATCAGACTCACTGAGCACTATAAAATACATTCACTAGCCAACCTGGTTAAAAAGAATGCTTATTTCTGTATTCTATAGATTCAAAGATAAAACATGGAAGCCAAACATACTGTGCAGAATACCTTTGTTCCCAGCAATAGAGCATGTTCCTTCAAACTATAAGTAATCCACTCCAATGGAAGCATGCCATATCCTTTATTTTAAAGCTCAGCTGTACTTTGGAAAATAAAAAATAATTTGACTTAACTGATTTCAGTGAAACATAGGGAACTGAGGGTACACAAGAGTGGAGAACCTGCTCAAATGCAATATTCAGGTTGTATAATTGAGATCATACAAAGCCATGGCTAACTTAGCACTCAGCAGCCTTAACACCTCAGAAGGAGTATGCAGCCCATGTATGTTAGGATCTCCTTCTACTGAGATAAGCAATAGTCCAAAGGATATAGTGAATTGATATAATGAATGGAAAATAGTATATATCTCCATTACAGTTAAGCTGTGGTAAGTATATCCCTATATTCAGACATAAGGCAGAATTACTTACATGATAAATGTGTTCAGACAGCAACATTTATGAAAAGGTTGGTAGTGCTCTGCATACTTTAGTAGAGGTCTCCAGCTGTTGCCAACAAGACATTTTAGAAGTCTTTCTTATTAAAGGAAAAAACCAGAAAAATTAATCTCATAGAGTTGAAAAGATTTGTTGATTTTGATTTTGCTGGCAGACTTGTTACCTAGATTTGCACAAAGCAAATGAGCTGGAAGATTTACAAATACTACCAAGTGAAGTAATCATTGCTTTCTCTTCTGAAAGTCACAGTGACTTTCTCCAAGCAGAGTTACTAAAGATCCACAGTGAATCTGGCTGTCTCACCTTTACAGCAGTTGTGGCGCGTAGTGCAAGTCCTCTGTGGAAAGTACTGGGTGTTCACCTAGCGGTAAAAAATGCATGCTTATTGATGCTTTTAAATAACCCCAAGGAATGTCATTGATTAGCCAAACATGCACATATAGCTAACAAATATTTATGATTTTCAGGCTCTGAAAGTGTCATGATTTCTAGCTTCAGTGTCAGGGCAGAACTGCCAGATTACGTTCCAGACACGAGTGACTTCCAGTTTATTACTCAATATTAAGCACTCTTTGTTTTAAAAGCCATTTCAGTCACCCAATATCTCATGAATGAATCAGTCTGCAACAAACAGGCTGGTAAATGAAGTCTCTAAGGTGAAAACTTCCCATGTGTATTATAATAGATTAGTGGTATGCATGAGCTAAATTCATGAACAAGCACCAGACTCAATTCTCTTCCCTTTGCATTTTGCCTGGAAGACATAAACAGGCTAGAGAGTATTTCTGGCTGGTAAAAAGCCCTCTGACCCTGCTTATTCCCTAATCACATCACTGCAGTACTGGCACAGAGCATGCACCAGGAATGCAGAGTGGCGCAGCACATCTCCTCTACGCTGCACTAGTCCATATGTGGCACACAGCCCCCACTGATCCCTCTGCAGTTGCTCGCCCCACACACGAGTCACAGCAGCCTGAGAATCAGGCAATTACAGCCCTGCCTGCCTGCTGTGCCAAGTGAACCTCAGAATAAAGAGATTTGGGCCTGCTGTTCAGAAGAAAGTTTTGCAACATTAGTCTGCTCCCAGCAGACCTGTGGAGGACGCTGAGGTCAACCAGCAGGAGTTCCCTAGACAAGGTTTGGTCTTACTCAGTTTTAAGAAAACAAACCTCAATTTTCAAACTCAACCATCAGTGCTCTGAAATCTCAGAGTTTGATTGAATCCTCATATTTCACCAGCCTGAAATGAACAAAAGAGAAAGTAAATTATTCACATATATTGAAAAATGTCAGCTAATTCAGACTCTTTTTTATCTGCCCAGTCAATGCACAGACCTGAACAGCAGTATAGTAGTGCGCGTGACGATCGAATGAAGTGTAGTGCAGCACCGTGTCTATTTTAAAACAGACTGGCTGCAGTGATTTTTGGAAGCTGGCCGGCCCGGTGGCAGGGCTGGCCTGGCAGCAGGGCCGGAGGCTCGGCAGCAGAGCCACCAGGAGGAGCGCGCTGACCGCTCCCGGGGCGCTGGGATGTCCCTCCAGCAAGGCCTCTGGGAAGCAGCATGGCTCCACCAAGGACACATTTTTTCCATGGGAGCTAGCCGCTGTGTTTCCCACTTGCAGCGTCCAGAGGGAGCGGAGGAGTGCTCACCGGACACCTCCGCCCACCGCTCCGCTTTCCCTGGCTGCTGCGCGGCAGGTGAACGCGCTGCCCTTGGTGGCTCCCCTCCACTGGGCACCGCTACTGCCCCCAGGGCTTACTGGGAAGGGATGCCCCATCCATGTAACACTTTAAGGCAGAACCTGGCACAGAGAGCCTGACAGTCTGGCAAAAATAATGCCTTAGAGGCAGCTGCTTGCTGATATAATCCTGTATGAAAAGAAAAACTGTTTTGGAGGGGATGACGCTGCCCTCTTAGGCATTCCTGGAACTTAAACTGGGAGTGAGTCAGTCACA